TCGGGGGGGGGGGGGACCCCCCAAATCCGCCCGGTCCCCCCCAATGGGAGCTCTGGGCTCAGTTTTGGGGTGCGGGACCCCCACAAACCCCCCCAAAGGTCCCAATTGGGGGTGTCCCCACTCAGCCCCCCCCGGGTTCCCCTGTCCCCCCCTTGGGGACCCCGCGGTGGCAGCGGGGGGGACACGGGGGGGACACGGGGGGGACACTGGGGGGTCCCACCCGACACCCCCCGGACCCCAAAGTGACACGAGGGACACGAGAGGTGGTGGCAGCGGCTCTGATGGACACGGGGGGGACACGGGGGGGACACCCAGGGGTGACTGAAGAAGATCCAGGGGGGACACGGAGGTCACCGAGGGTGACACAGGTGACACACAGGTCACAGACAGGTGTCACTGGTGACACACAGTGACACACAGGTGACACACAGGTGACACAGGTGACACACAGGTGACACACAGGTCACAGACAGGTGTCACTGGTGACACACAGGTGACACACAGGTGACACAGGTGACACACAGGTGACACACAGTGACACACAGGTGACACAGGTGACAGTCACAGGTCACTGTCCCCGCCCCGCCTTGGGAAGGTCCTGCTGGATGAAGAGCCCTGGGGACAGAGGGGACACCTCAGGTGGGGACCCCGGTGTCCCCAGACTGTCCCCAGCCCCCCGGGACGTCCCCAGCCCTGTCCCCTCACCCTGCTGTGCAGCATGTCCCTGGTGTCCCCAGCCCACCAGTGTCCCCATTGTCCCTGCTGTCCCCCCTGTCCCCAGCCCCCCCCCGGTGTCCCCAGGCTGTCCCCGCTGTCCCTGGTGTCCCCAGGCTGTCCCCAGCCCCCCCCGGTGTCCCCAGGCTGTCCCCGCTGTCCCCTCACCGGTGGCCCTGGCGTGCAGCGTGTCCCCCTCGGCGTCCCTCAGGTCACAGCCCAGGAAGAGCTTCCGGCCCTCGCGGCGCTCCAGGAACGCGTCCAGGAGCAGCACCGAGCGCAGGGGGACAGGCCTGGGGACATTGGGGGCATTGGGGACATTGGGGACAGCCCTGTCACCTCCAGGAGCAGCACCGAGCGCAGGGGGACAGGCCTGGGGACATTGGGGACACACAGTGACACCGGGGCCTGGTCACTGCCATGGCCCCCTGGGTCCTCCCGGGTCACCTCAGTGTCCCTTTGTGTCCCCTCCCCGGTCACCCAGTGCCACCCTGGTCACCCCCATGTCCCTCTCATGCCCCCCCGGTCACCCCGGTGTCCCCTGGTCCCTCTGGTGTCACCCCAGGTGTGTGTCCCCTCCCCTGGGGACACTCACGCCACCCTTGGGGACATTTAAGACACCCTTGGGGACACCACTGAGCTTTGAGGACACTCAGACCCTTCTTGGGGACACCCTGAGAGCCCCGGGGGACACCCCGACCTTGGGGACACCCCAACCTTGGGGACACGGGGACAGTGCCACTCACGCCACGTAGTCGATGCTGAGGGTGGCTGTCACCACCCGCCCGGCCAGCGCCAGCGCCAGCGTCCCCAGGGAGGTGTCGATGAGGGTGGCGATGGCACCGCCATGGGTCAGCCTGGGGACAGTGGGGACAGTGGGGACATCGGGGACAGTGGGGCCATCGGGGACATCGGGGACATTGGGGACATTGGGGACATTGGGGACATTGGGGACATAGGGGACATTGGGGTTGTCGTGACAGGGGTGTCACAGAGGTGACAGCAGGTGACGGGGGTGTCACCATGGGTGCCCCTCCAGGAAGGGCCCGGGCTGGCAGAGGTGACAATAGGTGACAATGGGTGACAGGAGGTGGCAGGAGGTGACAGTGGGTGACAATAGGTGACAGTGGGTGACAATAGGTGACAGGAGGTGACAATAGGTGACAATGGGTGACAATAGGTGACAATGGGTGACAGTGGGTGTCACTCACCCCGGGTGTCCCTCCAGGAAGGGCCTGGGCTGGCAGAGGTGACAGTGGGTGGCAGGAGGTGACAATGGGTGACAGTGGGTGACAGGAGGTGACAGGAGGTGACAGGAGGTGACAATAAGTGACAGCAGGTGACAGGAGGTGACAGTGGGTGACAGTGGGTGTCACTCACCCCGGGTGTCCCTCCAGGAAGGGCCCAGGCTGGCAGAGGTGACAGTGGGTGGCAGGAGGTGACAATAGGTGACAGTGGGTGACAGGAGGTGACAGGAGGTGGCAGGAGGTGACAGGAGGTGACAGGAGGTGACAGGAGGTGACAATAAGTGGCAGGAGGTGACAGGAGGTGACAATGGGTGACAGTGGGTGTCACTCACCCCGGGTGTCCCTCCAGGAAGGGCCTGGGCTGGCAGAGGCAGCGCAGGCGGCGCTCGGGGACACTGAGGAACATGGCGAACTCAAAGCCGTCCCCGTCCCCCTCGATGGCCCTCGGGAACAGCCGCGTGTCACCGTCACCGTCACCGTCACCGTCACCGGCCAGCCCCGGCAGCTCTGCGGGGACAGCGCTGTCACCGGGCTGGGGACACTGGGGACAGAGCGGGGCCTTTGGGGACACCGGGGACAAACCAAGGACGTGGGTCCAGGGGATTTGGGGACACGCTGGGAGGGACATGGGGACACCGAGGTGACAGGGCTGGGGACACAGCAGGGACGTGGGGACAGGGGGTCACCGGGGACTGGGGACACCCACGGGGACACCGCAGTGGCAGCGCCTCGGGGACCCTGGCAGGACACCCAGGACACGGTGACAGGAGTTTGGGGACATCTGGGGACACCGGGGACCCAGCGGGGAGGCGGTGGCGGGGTCTGGGGACATTGGGGACACAGGTGACACTGGGGATATTGGGGACACAGGTGAGACGCGTGACAGGTGACACAGGTAACACAGGTGACACAGGTGACACTCAGGTGACACAGAGGTGACCCAGGTGACAGAGGTGACCCCCAGGTGACACTAGGGTGACACTCAGGTGACACGGGTGACACAGGTGACACTCAGGTGACAGGTGACCCCCAGGTGACAGGTGACCCCCAGGTGACCCAGGTGACCCCCAGGGGTGACAGGTGACCCCCAGGTGACCCAGGTGACACTCAGGTGACAGGTGACCCCCAGGTGACAGGTGACCCCCAGGTGACCCAGGTGACCCCCAGGTGACACTCGGGTGACACGGAGGTGACGCACGGGTGCCGTGCAGGCGGGCGCGGCGGAAGGACGGCAGCCGTGTCCAGCCGCGGGCGGTCTAGAACCCTATGGATTGACCGTAGTGACGTCGCATGCGCTCGCTCCAGCCGGGGTTGGGGACAGCCAGGTCCCGCGGGGGACACGGCCGGTGACAGCGCCGCGCCCCGGGGACGGCGGCCAGGGCCCGGGGCAGCGCCACGCGGGGCAGCATGGCCGCGGGGACACCTGCGGGGACGGGCCGTGACGTCACTCCGCTCGGTGACGTCACTGTCGATGTCACGCGAGGGTAATGACGTCACCGGCGCGGTCGCACCTGGAGCGCGGTGGCGCCGAGGACGTCGCGCGCGGTCGGTGACGTCACCGGCGATGTAGCACGCGGTTGGCGAGGTCGGGGGTGACGTCACACCTGGGGTAATTGGTGATGTCACACGAGGCTGGTGAGGTCACAGCTGACGTCACAGCCGCTCAGTGACGCCGGCCGTGATGTCACACCCGCCGGTGACGTCACGA